AGTCAAATATATCATCGGTTCGAAAGTTATTCAAATATCAATAATACTCTCATTTTTGGTGCCATTTCATAGCAAATTTTCCACACTTAAGCCCTATACCATTTGTCAAAAAATCACCCATTTTTACATTTCTACATTTCTTTCATTTTCTTTCATTTCTACATTTCATTTTTACATATACCATTTCTACAAAAAGTTCAATAAATTTTGATCCGCTTAACTTCAAAGGCCAAATGACTCCTCATTTTTTTAAGTCAAACCAAGCTTTATACAATGGCATTAATTATATTTGAATATTTAAACTATAAACAAATTGTTTGGAATGGCTAACAGAGGACTTAAAATTAAGAGGACAGATTGCCAGTCCCAGTTGAAGAATCTTTGTTTCTTCATGTACAGTATCTGTGCAACTTAAAATACAGGAGACTAATGTTATTCTTTGGACTAACCCTAAAACATCCTGAACCTTATATTGTTGTCCTGTTTGAATGCAATACGTTAAAAAAATTAGCAAACTGTTAAAGTAAAGTTGGATTTTTTTATCTGAACTAAATTCAAGTCAAGCACAAGTTAAAATGACTGATTGGAAAGTTTCCACTCTTCTTTCTCAATTAAGTGATTCTTATCAAGTTTGCATTATATACAGTTTAAATCTTAAAAAAATAAATGATTTTGTAATTGCTAATGGTAGACAACCAAATCAGATGTCTTTGGACGTTGGAGTTTGCAATTTGCATTGCTACATTCGTTGTTTTGAATAGCTGTTAAATATTAAACTGAGAAAAAGACCATGATAAAATCATTGTGGTTTTTTTTATGCAAACAATCCTGAAAAGAAAAAAATTGTTGCAAGTCGAAGAAAAAAATTCAGTAAAAATTTAAAGATACACTAGGACTAATTGTTGATGTATTAAAAAGTGGTGGCTCTGGTAAATCCAACAATGAAAACACAGCAAAAAAAGCATTTAGAAGCCATGAAAATTTTGGCGGAAACACTTAGAGTTCATAAGGATCTTGTTAAAAAACTTTTTATTATTTACAGTGTATTGTCCTGTAAGCATTTGTAGACATATCTAGCACATTTTAAATGGTATCCTATGCATGCTGGAGTGCACAAGATGACTTTCCATTTACACCAGGTTGTAAGAGACAAGTTTTTTTTATGGGCCTCTTATCTGAAGAAACCCAGGAAAATAGAAACAAAGATGTTAAAATTTTTTTGGAACATTTTACAAGAAAAATTACAAATGAAAATATAATGCAAAGATTGCTCTGCTTATAAGGCCCCTTTATTACTTCTATGAGGTATCAGGGGCGGATCTAACAAAAGGGTGATGCGAATTTTTTTTAATAGAACCTCCCTTTCCATAACATCTCTAGGGTTTAAGTATAGTCAATATCAAAAGTGAATGGACTGCAAAAAGGCGTAGCAAGGGTACACAATCTAGGTCTCACTTCTTGGATATCAAGACTAAAACCAAAAGTCAAACTAAAAGCAATAGCTACTACATCTAAACTAAGTCTATGGCTTGTACAATGAACAAAAAAAACATTTTGATTAAGAGCTTTTATTTAAGAAAATAAACTTCTTTATGTTCACCTCCTTTAAATCCTGTACCATCATACCCTTGGCCTCTACATTTCGGAATATCAATTCCAAAAAGTCTCTTGAAGTGTATTAATTAATTTTAGTAAATTTAGAAAATAGAAAGTTAATTTAGAGATGTACCAGATGTACCAGTCTTGCAACCAATAAATGTTAGGAAATTCTTGCAAATCTCATTATTTGAATTTACATATCTTAAAAAATGTGACATTTGTTCAGTGTTTGAACAGTCAGCTGCTTCATCACGAAGTATTAAAAAAAAATTAGAATGCTTTTTAAATTGCATTTTTTATTAAAGTTACCTCATTTGTTTTCCCACAAGAATCAATATGTTGGTTTTGGGTAGTTTTTGATATAAAGGTTGCATTTTTTGGACTTGAAAAAAAATGATGAGCTAATATTTGATTACCAGCTTTAACGCAAATTTTTAAAAGCTGTTCGATGTTACCTCTTCCAACCAAGAAACATTTTTGTTTTAATTATAGGAACAAACTTTTTTCAGTTATCAGAAAAAAGTTTTAAACAAGAATGGTTTAAATCAACCTCAATAACATTACATTAGGGTTGTAACGAGAATGTAATGCATTGTAAAACACAATTTTTCATGTTTTTTAAAATCATGAATAGCATTACCCCATTCTTGATGAGGCTTGAAAACTAAATTTAGTATTCCGGACTTATTTGGAAAACATAGCTAAGTAAATGGAAAACAGTAATCTCGATCTTCTTTGTTAGAATAAGCTAACCAAAAATAGTGGCTGAGTCATTCAATTTTAAATGATTTTTTTTTGTATTAATAGTCTATTAAATATCTATTAAATAGGTATTGGGAATCCAAATATAGAATTCGGGCGAAATACTATGTTTACCATATCTATCAAATTGCATCGTCTT